CGCGGTTGAAACTGATCAGTTTCAGCAGCGGCTGACGCCAGTTCCGACTTACATACAGATTCAACTTAAGAACAAACCTACAGTCCCTATCTTGTACGTAACCCGGGGACTGCCTGTAAACTAAGGCTCAGTGGCCCATTCAATTCTGTGTCTTTGCTGAGACTGCCACTAGATCTGCATGATAATTAGTGTCATATGACATTGTGGTTTGGATAGTAGAACTGAGATCACTAGGCACTACACTCAGACCCTCAACATTTCACATGGTCCAGCTCAGCTGTCAGAAAGGACCTACTTAGTCATAACTTCAGGTTGCCAACTTAGAGCTGAAAGACGCAGTGTATCCCATCACCAAAGTCCTGAGCCAACTAGTTCTGATTATTTTTGTTCAAAGAGAAGACAAGCAAACAAAAACTGCAACCCCACCACTTCCACTTTTCCCTTCCCCACTGAATAGCTCCAACTGGGGAGACCGAGAGCAGCTGCATTTTCATTAAGATTGTTCAGTAATAGGTTCACTCGGTACTGATAAGACTGCAGGTAATTTGGCTAAGTGTATCTGTTGCACGCTGATAGACTGTGCTCTTTCTCTGCTCTGCATTCCTCTCCCAGCCACCCTCAGATTGAGAGTCTGATTAGAAAAGCCATTTTTGTCTCGGAGATCTTCAGTAGCAGCATGATTCCTGCTCGCTTATGAGGCATTGTTGTAGCTTCAGGCTTGAAGTTTACAGCTACCCCAGCAACAGTCTCTTCCTGCCATATTCCCAACCCTCAAACAGGCAACAGATTTAGGGCAAATCTACACTAGAAACTATGGCTTGTCTCATGAAGATGCTCTATGTTGACGAGAGAGAGCTCTTCTATTGGCATAATGCTGGTGTGGATAGTGCTTAGGTTACTGCAACTTTTGTCACTTGCAATGTAAGTTCTATCAACTTATGCTGTAGTGTACACCTACCCTCAAAAGTAGCCCACTTTCACAAGCCCACGATCAAGAGATAAGCTCCACTCTTACGTCCAATTACCAAGTTACAGTATTTCAAAAGGCCACCTAGTTTCAGTGAAGAGGAGATGCTTTGAACAGAGGCTCAGGCCAGACATGCCCCACTGCACACCTCCCAAAGGAAATGACACATGGCCCCACCCATCTCTCATTAAACCCCCAACACAAACATAGGATTTCAACTCCCATGAAGTCAAGCCTTGGCTTAAGACCCTCCTTTCAGACAAGAGCCTTGTGGGCCATATGGATTTCTTTGCCATTGCATTATGGAATGTCCTTTTCTCCTCCCTTTCTGGCAAAACTGCACCCTTCATTCAGAGCAAGCAGGAAAAAAAAAGACAAAAGGGTGATTCCCCTCAAATACCTTAGTATTCCAGTTATAATGGTAACCTAAGGTCACCCAACGTAGCTTCTCCAGTAAACTTCTAGGCTCCCTTTTACTGGAACCTTTGTTCCTGAAAGACAAAATTTAGAAAGACAATAGAATGGACATTAGATTATTTCCTTGACTTCTCTGCCCCTGCTACATATAGAAATGGGAGACAGTCACCTATACAGTAGCACATTAAACACCTCATAGTCGATCTTTTATTTACAATATACAAGTCTTTTTGTTGGTGAGTCTGCTCTGAAATTTCAATTTATGCCATTTATTCAAAATTTAGGGTCCTGGTACAAACTGCCCTCATTGTACTTTCAATATAGGAACTACAGAGTTTATCACTGTAGGAAGAGATTTAGAAGATAGAGCAAAATTTAAATATGTAGAGTTTGGCTAAACCACAGCACATGTGGGGAGGGAACATCACAGCCTATGAACATCTGAAAAGGAGAAAGAATTATTTGGGCAACACAAGGAGTATAACTAATTATTTAGGGCAACACAGGAAATACTTAGACTCAACTAGAGGACAGTGAGATGAATTAGGTTGTGTAACAGTTACCAAAGAGGATACTCCTAAGAAAGACTACCAAGTCACAGTGGCACCCCAGTTCTGGGCTTTTCGATGGCACTGTTGACTAGATTTTAACAAGCAACTTTTATTCTAAATTGAACACAGAAATATAAAAAGCCAAGACTTCAGAAATAAAAAGCCTGGAATCCTTCATTTACCCTTGAATAAGCTACAGCATGGATAGCAGCAAGACAAGTTTCCATTACAGCACTCTGACAATGTGCCTTAAGAGGGCTCAGCTCTTGGGGCAAAAGGGGAATTGCATTACAATAAAACATTTCTAGATGGCAGTGCCTTCCTCCTACTGAACCCCAGGACAAGACAGAAAGCAATTTCCTGACGCAGTTCTGAAGACATGAGGAGAAAGCATTTTGCCTTCTTAATTGGGCTAGAGTGGCTCTCCATCTCTTCAATACAGCAGGGCCACTTTTGTTCCCTTGATAAAACGTTAAGCACGTCTTCTAGAAGGGAGAGAGAATGGGCAGGTTTGTGCACAAGACAGAACACAAAAGCAAGCTGGTTACAGGAAGCATCTCATGGTTATGGAGCCCTTAGAATCAAAACAAGATTAGAAGGGTAAGACACAAGACTAGAAGGCTCAAAAGGTTCAAGGAATGGGCCGTGGAGCCTTTCATCTATACAACACCCATTGCCAGATTGGAATTGTGAGGTGGGCTGCCTGGCAGGCTCAGAGAGTTTGCTAAGAGGCTATTCACCTCTAGAGCACTGCCTCCATTCTAAGAGTTAGAGCAGGGGTTGGCAACCTGAGGCATGCAAGACAATTTTCTGTGGCACATGGGGCAGGAGCTCAGCCCCTCCCCCCGCCACACAGCAGGGAGCCTGTGCTGCAGCTCCAGCCTCAGCCATGCAGCTGCATGCTGGAGCACCAGCTCCGACTTCCTGCTGGAGAAGGATGGAGGCACGTTCCTGGAGCTGTCCTTGCCTGGCCTGGGCGTGCAGCTCCCAGAAGCTAAGGGTTTAACACCTCCCCTCTTGCACTACAGGCTTTGCCTCCTGCTTTGGGAGGGCGTAGGGGCAGGACAGATTGGGGATGGGCAGTCAATCACACGTGAGTGCTGGGGCCTGGGCTGCGCCGCACTACTCCCCCGTGAGGTGAGGAGGCCCTTCCCCTGAGCCCTGCTGGAGCTGCAGGTGAGGGGCGAGCCCTGGGCAAAGGGCTGGGCCAGGCAGGGAAGTAACTGTCACCTCCCTGGCTCCTCCCCACCCTAGTGTTGTTCCTGGGGGCTGCAAGTCCTAGAGCTGCTGCACTGCTAGTGAGTGCACTAAGGGGAACAGGGAGATGGGGGTTGGAGGGGAGGATGTGAGAGGGCAGGGGCTGCGATGTGTGGGGATGCGGCAATGCAAGAAATAGAAAGGGGACAGCTCAGTGGTTTGAGCATTGGCCTGCTAAACCCAGGGTTGTGAGTTCAAACCTAGAGAAGGCCATTTAGGGATCTGGGGCCAAAAAAAAAATCTGTTAGGGATGGTACTTGGTCCTGCTGTGATGGCAGGGGACGGGACGGGACTGAACTGGACGACCTTTCAAAGTCCCTTCCAGTTTAAAAAAAAAAGAAATTTCCTTTGCAGAAGCTGCACTTTCCTTTACTCCCGGCTCTTTTGCCTTCTTCCCTCCCCTCCCCCCCACATCACAGCACAATCCTCCTTGCACCTTATCATTGTGTGTGAATGAGAATTTCCACCCGTTTGCACAATAATCAAACAGCCACAAGGGTTTTGATGTGCAGCTATTTGGCTACATTCACATCCTCTCACCTTTTCTGCATTACTCCTCCAACACCCTCCTGCCCCCAAACTCCCACTTATACCCGCACCCTCTTGTGCCACCAAACTCCCTTCTAGACCCTGCCCTCCCCCATCCCTATCCCACACACTTAACCTCTCATTTTGTCCCCATCTCAGAGCCGAAGCGAGATCCCAAAATTCACTAAGTCTGGAACCTCAGAAAAGTAAATGTGACCTAAGGGAAGGTCCCTTGGAGCTGGAGTGCCAGAGGAGTGAGGTGTGTCAGTTGGGGGCCACATCCAGGAGGGCTGGGGGGTTTTGGAAGAGTTTTTTTGCTTCCCACTTGTGTGGTCTCAGAGGGTATATCTAGACTACACCTCTCTGTCAACAGAGAGATGTAGATTAGGCACGTCAAAATTGCTAACAAAGCAGGGATTTAAATATCCCGTGCTTCATTAGCATAAACATGGCTGCCACTTTTTTCCCCAAAACTGAGCTTTCAAAAAAAAAAAAAAAAAAACCAGCAGTCTAGACACGGATCTGTTGAAAATAAACCCCTTTTCGACAGACCCTGTAAACCTCATTTTATGAGGAATGCAGAATTTGTCAAAAAAGGGTTTATTTTCAACAGATCCACATCTAGACTGCCGTTTTTTTCCCCAAAAAAGCTCCATTTCAAAAAAAAGCTGTGGCCATGTTTATGCTAATGAAGCACGGGATATTTAAATCCTGCTTTGTTAGCAATTTTGACGTGCCTAATCTACATCTCTGTTGACAGAGAGGTATAGTCTAATTGTACCCCAACTGATTTTTCTGTGGGTCAGTAGCCCTGGCCCAAAAAAAGTTCCATATCTCTGCCATAAAGAAAGAAAACAATACAAAAGGTTTTAATGAACATAGATTAACATTTTACTTTATTTAAAACAAAGTTTGATAAACTAATGAAAAAGTTAAAACGCTTAATCTGTTTAATAATTTAAATGGAACCATTCTCCCTGTCTGCAGCACTAGCAAAATAGTTTGGGCGTAATTAGCAGTGAGTTTCCATTAGCAACTGGTGGTTTGTGGAAAGGTTTGCACTGAGCCAGAGATGGTCCACGGGGTGCGCGGTGGAGAGAGTGGCATGGCACTTATAAATCTTGGCAGGCCACTTTGGAAAGGTTGTTAACCCGTGGGTTAGAGCATCAGTTCTCAAACAACTGAGTTGGGACCCCACGGTGGGTTGCAACCCCATTTTAATGGGGTCACCAGGGCTGGCTTAGACATACTGGGGCATGACCAAAACTGAGGTCCCACTAGATTGTTAAATTTCAATTAATCAGCTGATCAAGCAGTCGATGTACTCAATTAGTTGATAAGGGCAGCGCTCACTATCCCGCTGTGCCTCTGCCTTTGAAACGTACAAGAGCTTATGCAGGATCCTAACGTTGGCGCCTCTCCCTCTGAAACGTACAAGAGCAGCCAGCGGCTCTTGTACATTTCAAAGGAAGAGACGCAGCAGAGAACGCGTGCAGGGTCCTGACTGCTGGACGCCTAGACTTATCAGGTAGTTGACTGGTTGCTTCTATCCCTAGGCCCCACCATCCAGTGCCAAAGATGAAGCCTACTGGCTTCAGCCCCAGGTGCTGTGGCTCAGATTACAGATCCAATGCCTGGAGCTGAAGCTTTTGGACTCTGTGTCTCCCTCCCTTCCCCAGGCACCAGGGTTCAGGCTTCAGTATCTCTCCTGGGGCTGTACAGTTATTCTTCTTGTCAAAAGAGGGTTACAATGCAATGGAATTTGAGAACCTCTCATCTAGAGAGACTTGGATTCACTGTAGTACAGCCCCTGAGCTCTAGAGTGAGAATGGAGAGAAGATGGTTACCCTACCTACACTCCTGTCATCATTCTAATGGATTCATAGCAGACTGAAACTGGAAGATCCTGCTCCCTAGGCTGGAAGAATGAGGCTTAGCAAAGGTGCACGCGCATGCGCACACGCACACACCAAACAGCGCAAAGATCTTTAAGATGTTCAAGTCCATAATACTGTATGAAACTCTTCTTTGTGCACAATACAGGCAATCCCCGGGTTACGTACAAGATAGGGACTGTAGGTTTGTTCTTAAGTTGAATCTGTATGTAAGTCGGAACTGGCGTCCAGATTCAGCCGCTGCTGAAACTG